CATCTTCGTAATAATGACACTTGGTCACCTCGTTTGAGGACTCTGTTCTTTTCCAAAGTGCTTCTTCTCTTTCATCTCATTAAAGGGCCTCCCTCACCCAGGGAGGCAGGAAGGAGGAGGTGTTATCTCCATTTCACAGAAGGGGAACTGAGGCCCAGTCAGGTTACTTTTCCCACAGCCACGCAGCTGAGGAGTCGGCGGGGATGACTTCCTTAAAGTCCCCTCCATACAGCACCACCTCCTTCCTGAGCTAACTGGGACTCCTCCTGGGAGTCCCAGAGCACAGATAGTCAAGTTGAGGGGACAAGAAAGGAAAGAATTCTGGCCTGGGAACCAGGCCCTGGGTTCCAATTCTGACTCCATGACAAACCATGTCAGAGTCACCCAGATAAACCAGAGATGAGGGGTGACCATGTCCCCCCACCGCTCCTGATAATGGTGCCCAGGCATCTCCTACTCCAGGCCGAGGACGCAGCCCCAGAGACCTTCTGACCATGCAGAGAGAGGAGAGAGGAATAAACGACTGAGCGCTGCTACATGGTCAGCTTTAGCAGCCGGGTAAATCCATTATCTCTAGTCCTCGGAGCATCCCTGAGAGGCAGAGGGGCGTCCTCTAGATTAAAGGTGAGGAAAGAGGTCAAACAGGGAGAAAGATTTGACCAAGGGCACAGAGTGAGGAAGTGGTGGGATTTGAACCCAAGGGTCACCCAGGGTCATCTCCTCGCAGGAGGGTCAGCTGTCTCATGCTGGTTTTGCCTGGGAGGAGCACTGCTGACTTGGTGGCGTGTGTCACCCTTACTTCTTCCTTCCAGGTTCCGGTCTCAGCACAGGTGCAGTGAGTCCAGGAGGGTGACCTGGCGGCTCCAACAGACCTGGGTTTGAGTCCTTCCCTACCACTTACTAACGGTAGAACCTTGGGAGGGTCATGGAGCAAAGGCTCAATGACTCAGTTTCCTCATCAGTTCAATCAGGGGTTTGGTTTAGGGCGTCCGTTCTTAGCCTGGGATGAACTTAGAATCACTGTGGGAGCTTTTAAAAATACCCTTGCCTGTGCCCCACCCCAGGAGAGCGCTGTTGAATTGGTCTGAGGTGGGGCTCAGCATCAGTTTTATTTTAAAGCTCCTAAGAGATTCTAATGTGCAGCCACGTTGAGAAACACTGGTTTCTGTGCTCTCCAAGGACCAGCCTTTCCATAGCTCACATTCCACATGGAACCCTGGGCCCTGAGATCCTGTTTTACCCAAGAATCATTTGGGCAACCCTTCCTATGCCAGCCTATAGGCCCTTGACCCCATGTAGCTCAACAGCTGGCTGGCATAAGCACCACGACAGTGACAGCTCATCCTAGCCAATCCCAGTCCTGCCTCTGGAAGTCTGAGCTTGAACCAGCTGTTGGGCAGGAAGAATCCTGAATGCAGCTCCTTGCCATTCCCCTCCTCTACCCTCCCTCTCCTTTCTCTGGCTCTTCCCTCTCTCACTTGCCTGTCTACTTCGACTCTTATTGACCTCCTACTTTATAAGGCCAGACACATGTGAGTTTTGATGTCAGATCGGCCTGGGTTTGAATCCCGCCTCTTGCCAGGTGAACTTGGCCAGGCGCTGTCCTCAGTTCTGAACATGGGAAATCTATTTGTGTTCTCACAATGATCCTGAGAGTTTGGGAGTAATACTACCCTAATTTCACAAATGAGGAAATTGAGGCACAAAGGGCTTCATTACCTCACTCAGCCTCATTTCTCTGTCTGTAAAGGGGAAATCTTACTAGAGCTTACTTCAAGCTTATTTTGCAAATTCCATGAGATAATATACGTAAATGGCTTATCGTAGTATCTAGCACAAAGTAGTTATTCAATAAATGTAATCTATCATTATCATCGGATAATGATATATAATAGTGGGTTTTGTTATCATTTATTATTAATTCACATTTTCACCCTTCCCTGTGCATAGCAGTTTCCTCATCTGTAAAATGGGACTGATGTAGGATTGTACTATGCTTGTTCCTATCAGCTCACAAGAGGGAAATAGTGATTTTCTGTTTTGTGAGCCAGCTGATCCACATTGGTAGCTTGAAATTGGCCCTGGTGAGAGTATTTGGAAATCAACATGGAAATCAACAAACACTACAAAGCAGGGCCTTCCTCCCCACCCATCTACCCCTTGGAGACGATGGTTAAACATTTACCAGCACAACACTGCATCCACATCACACAGTTGACCTGAGGACTAAAGGAGGGATTGGACATGATGGTCATCATAAAATACAAACTGCTGAATGTAGGGGGTATGACCCCGAGGTGGCCTCATAGCAGCCATAGGCCTGGCACCCTTTTCTCTGCTCATTCTGGGCTACGGCTGACTTGTGAAGAAAGTAGGAGGGGGTCTGGAGCTAGGGGAGCCAGTGGTGAATCACTGACCCTTCACCATCCCCACGTGTCGGCATTAACTGTAATGGCTGCAATAAAGAATCCCGGATTGGGGAAATGATTCCATCATCCCCGCAGGAGTCCCTGGGATGCAGCCAGGGAGACAGGGAGAGAGAGGGAGAGAGAAAGAGAGAGAGAGAGAGAGATCAACCATGTCCCTGGGGAGTCACTCAGCCTGACATTGTGCCTTGTCCAAGGGTGGGGGGAACAGGCAGAGGAGAATGACAAGGAGACCCTCTCTCATAACAGTTACAACAGCTACTGTTTATTGAGCACCCACCATGAGCCTGATGCTTTATGTATCTTCGCCCTTTTCAGCAAGTCTGTGAGGGAGGCATGATTGTACTATTGTATACTGGCGTGCCTTGCCTCCGAGACAACAGCAACCTGCGTTTACGGAGTTCTTAGCAAGAGCCAGGCACTGTCCTCGGTGCTGAACATGGAAATCTATTTGAATTCTCAAAACCAATCCCAGCAGTTTGGTAGTGCTATCATCCTCATTTCACAAAGGAGGAATTTGAGGCACAAAGGGATTTGTGACGTGTTCAAGGTCAAACTGCTAATAAGTGGTGGAGTCATCACTGATCATGATTAAGTACCCTGGGCCACCATCCCCAGAGCCACTCTGCCTGTGCTGACTCTGCCACCCAGGAGGGCTTTGGTCTCAGAGAGTCCTGGGCTCAAATCCCACCACTTCCTCTCTGTGTGCTCTTGGTCGAGTCTTTTTACCTGTTTGACCCGTTTCTTCACCTGTACCCTGAAGGGGCCCACTCTGCCTCTCAGAAACACTATGAGGGTTAGAGATGATGGATTTAAGTGGCGGGTGAAGCCAGACATTCGCTTCTCTGGGCAGCCCTGACGTGGTTGACATGGAACCGCAGCTGCCAAAGAGAGGCGCATTGCAGGGCCGGTTTAAGAGGCTCAGGCTGGGAGGGGGGACACGGAGAAGGAAATGAGAAATGCAAAAGAGTGAAAAATAAATACATGTGTCTGTCTGGAATGATCGAGGGCCCCAGGCTGGAGGCGGGAGAGGCGGGCGGCAGGCTGGGTTTAGCAGAATTGCTGCAGTAGCATTTCCAGAGCCTCACTCATTAGCCAAGCAGTGAATGGGCCTCCCCTCCCAGCGTGCCACCCTGCTGGCCCAGAGAATCCAACTTCAGCCACAGGAGGGCCCCACCCAGAACCTCATCAGGTCTGGGCGCCATCCCCTCCCTAGCAGGGCACTCAGAAGGCAGCATCTGCTGGAAGTGAGGTCTGAGTCTCATCCCCTTGGGTGAAACTTGAGGTCCCAAGTCTCATCCCCTTGAGGTTCTGAGCCCCCCCCCCC